TTTGTAGCATGGCCTGCTTAATCTTTAATTGACGATGACCTATTCCTAATAATTCCAGCAAACATTCAGGGAAAACCAGATCAAGACAAGTGGAGCTCTGTGCAATCACAAGAGCAGATTACCAGGAAGCAGGATGTAAGCAATATAAACAGACAGTAAAATGGCATATATGATATACAACAGCGAGGGATTTCATTACGAGACGCGCTAGAAAACTGGGTAGATGCAATCATGGTTGACAAATAACCTAGCTAAATATGGCATATGATTACCCTAACACCTGTTATTTACTTATAAACCTTTGAATTGTCATATGATGTTCTTTATCTACATACCCTTCGGGAAAGGCCGTTTCAGGGCGCGATCGTCGTGGGATTAGATTATAGACGATTGCTTGTCTCGCGCTGTGGAGAATTGAATAACAAGACATACATGAAAGTTTACATCACGAGCTGGATTAGGCTTTGAACTACTGGCTGGTAGGACAAAGGAACACCGGGAGCCAAACAGAAAAGGCTTACAGACAGCGCTTTGGTATGCATGGACCACCAAAAATTGAAGAAACTTAACGAGGACAAAAAGAACCCATAGAAACAAAGAATAGAAATGCATTCTCATGTATCAGAGACGAACTGGAATGCCCAGACCTGAATAGTTTATGAATACTGATTTTGAAATGGAATGTTAGTCAATTGTAAAAGTACGAATGACCTTACAACCGTCTATATTTGACCGGAAGCTGAAGATTGTGAATACATTTTAAAAAAGTAAAAAAAAAGATAGCATTTTTCACGCAGGTTTTTCCGATGATATCGCTGCTAATGTTTTCAGTTCACGAGGCAGTACGAGGCCAAAGACGTTTGGAAAAAACTTGCAACACAGATTTACGAGACTACTAATTATATTTACCAGCGTGCCTTTCGTCAAACACGAACATCTTCACTGCCTATGGAGGCAAAGTGTGATTAATAATCCTTGTCAAGCAAACAAGCAAAACGTGTTGTTCCTTATAGCATCAAAATACAGCTCCTTTTCAGATTTTTTTTTATTCCTTAGGGGTGAGCAGTTTTAAGCCACTTTTTGCCATCAATATACTGGCGTGTGTTTCACCCGTCTGGTCCTACAGTTGGAAATAACCTCGGTGAAGCCTTTGGACCACGCATTACAGATTCCGCGCTGCATTTCGTGTAAAACCACTCGTACAAGCCACGGAAAATATGATTTCCATACGTCAGTTTTTGTCGAAAACACTGGAATGTAGACATGTGAATGGAGAAGCTTTAACACGCTATGAATAAATCAAGTTGTACACCGTACTTCTGCCTCTGTGGTTGATCTAGCAGACAGCGCATAGAAATTGCAACCTCCCAGTTTACGTCCAATCACCATGGTGATAGACAGGCTTTCATTCAAACGCGTACTTGTTCCGCATGTCAGAGCTTGTCAGCCGCACCCACCCACCTAGATTCTACACGTGTACGGTGTAGAGATCATGACTCACAAACGTCTACTTTAACTCGGAAATGAGACTACCCGGTTCTAGGCCAGTCAACACAACCTTCCAGAATTTCGGAAGCCGATTGATTTCCAGTTTAACACCTCGGAATATTCATAGCTTTTCTCCGGGAAGTCTAAATAGATAGTTACTCATGGATCGTCCTGAAGGAGAGGGGGAATTTACTAACGTAACAGTGATGCGAATTCAGTTGGAAGTGAAATTTTAGTGAGCACGTTTTGTCGGTGTTTGCTAAAAATCCAAACAGGATTGTAAGTGAAGGAAACACTTAAAAGAAAACCGTTCAGTAGTCTCACGAGCAGGAAGTATCCCCCGATGTTCCTATGAGATTCTGGTTCGAAAGATTCGACTGCGCAACAGTTACTATCGAGCAGAAATCCGCGAATTTAAAACTTGAAAGTCGATTGCCACAAAGGTATTGAAAATAGTTACTAATTGAAACTGTCTTAGGTGTACTGCCACTTCCTTGCAAGTACCATGTTCTTCAGCCTCTCAGGCGACATAAGGTATCTGTCCAAAGGCGTATGTAGGCAACCCATTGGGATTCCGTATCCGAAAAAGGTATAAAACCACCAGCAATATTGTTCATAACTTCTATTCCCCTTAAGGTAATGTTGTGTAAAATTTGGTTCTGTTGTGGCTTTTTAATAAAATGGTAATGTATTCTATCCGAGCACTCACTATGGACTATAGACACCAGGAATCCTGTCGCACAATGTTGTATGTAGGTTGTGTTGCCCTCAGATGTTTCTTACTCATAAATTCCATGAGATTATATCACCACAGTTGTCAGTCAACATAATCCGGTCTTAATTTGAGCTAACATAGTTAACTGACCATCCTGAATTGGTGTAGTGTTCACATCTCCATTTCCTGGAGACACGGATTTGCGGGACAGTAAAATGGCAGATTTTTTTTAATAAAGGGCCTTAACCTAATCTTCCAAGTTTCAGAAAACGCGACATATACAGCCACAGAAAATTTTCTGAAACGTGATCGAGTCGGCAGCTTTTGCACCTTTCAGTGCCTATCTTTGATGTATTTCAGTTCAATAGGGGTTTCATTCAGGCAGTGATACCAAACCTCGCAGTAAAACCGGGAAGCACTGTACAGCTGTTTCACCCTTGTTAGGAATCGCCTACAGTGTGCATCTCGGAAAACTTAGCTTCCAGTCGGCGATCTTCTGGCCAGTGGTTGAGTACTTGATCGTTTGGCCAGGAGTGGCTGATCAACAGTGTAACTAGCTCTCACATGGACAGGACTATAGCCACTAGTCCTTCAGTAACGGAAACCACATCACGTGGCCAAACGCTGACTTGTTCTTCAAGTGATGACTCCTCAGAAGGAAGTTTCACACACCCAGTGAAATCAGTCTTGCTCTGAGGCGCCTCACAGTGATAGGAAGGGACTTGCTACTGCTCAATTTTTTGTGTGTTGTTCTTGAATGTTGCACTGCTCGCTAACAGCAATAAGTAGGATATCATACCCCAGCAGTATATGGGAAGAACACTGTTCACAGATATTGACTGAAGTCTGGATGAAAAGAACGTGCCAAACATAAGAAGTTCTGGTCTCGCCTTCTCTGCAGAAAAAGCTCATTATCTTTAGATTTTTGTTTTTTTTTCTGTAAAGAAGTGATGCGATATTCACAGTTATCTTAAAAACAGCCAAATTTTGGGGAATGGAAAGAATCTTCGGAACTGTGCGAGTGGACAGGAAATCGTCCCCTCTATGGGTCTTTGGAATTATGCGTTTTTTGCAGGTTTTCCCCCATAACCTCATTTCTCAAGCCTCTACATTTTGACGGTGTGGTGGCCCAGCTGCCGTCAGTCATCGGGATTCATTTGCAAGGAACGGCTTTTATTAATTTGCCACAAGAGTAAAAGAAAACCAGGTGAAGTGTTAATACTTTTAATGAATTTTGCTACGGATAGTAAAATATTTCCAGGCAACGTAATGGCCGTCTATTCATGTAGAGACTTAGACATTCCTTAAGAAGTGAGAACGTGACAGTTTTATTTCTATGTTTAACAACCTAAGACAAGCTAGTATAAGCTGTCTCCAAAGCAAGCGTTTTATAATTGATACTTGATGTAATTTCGGAGTTGTCTGGGTATAGCGTATGTTCACATTTCACCCATATAGTGAGCACCTTTTTCGGTAACTCAGATTTACATCGGCCTGGCTAGCAGGTTCTTCCAGAGAACTGGCTTTTCCTTCTGCTCTTGTTTTAGGATAGAGCTACAGGCCATTCTTACTGGTTCATGCCAGTCACCTGCGGTCAGGTGGGCGTTAGTAAGATGTGATCAAGTAGAACATGAGGTTGACGGAAACTCGGGTATTGCGCCTACTTGACGAGCCCCAAGAAGGGCGAAACTGAGTGTGTGCTGCTGGAGAATTTTCAGCAACCTTATGAGTAGTGCATTACGTATATAAAAGAGATATTCTTCGGTTTAATCAACACGTCCAATGCAAGAATAACTTACATCATTCTAACTTCTGCATCATCAAAGAAACAACGGCCTAATCTGTGACATTCACAATCCCTTTAAACATGTGACGCGAATGTGCATTCTGGCTTTTCAAATTGCAACGCTGACTGGTTCTGTTCATTCCAAGGGGCGAGAATCACCCTCAGTTCGTTAGCACATGCGTATATTTTTGTCGCTAGTTAATTGTTCAGTGGTGATTCAATCACACCCAAAACAAGATATTAACCAGAACTGATTTCCGGCAGCCTAACAGACTCTTAGACTCTTGTCTGACTCACACATTGCATCCCCTTACACTTAACAGGTATACTATCACTTGCACCCTAACGTGATTCAGCCTTTACCACGAAAAACGAATTCTCACCTATTATTCTGAGTCTGCATAAGACTACAAAATGGAGATTATACGCGTGTGCTCTGTTCCACTGTTATCCTCATTTCAATAGAACTTCTAACGAGCTTCCATCCACCCTACGTGCTAATGCGGTGTTCCTGTCGCTCTCATGACTCAACCCAAACGTTGTTTATCATATTCTAAGCTTCGAGACTCTTTCCGGAGTGGGATGCTTATAAACGTGTGAATTTCGCAATCCTTTTGTACAATAACAGGGTGTGATGATGGAAGCTGAACATTCACAAATCCCCAAGATTACTCTTTGTTTAACAGTCAGCGACGTCTTTTTGGGGTGCATGCGGTCTATTTGTCTGACTGTTTTAGAAGGGGAAAACGCGGAACACGGCAACCACTTTAACAATGATTTTGCCCATTCTTATGTTGTCCACTGTTGCCTGATTCTTGAATTCACCTTGCAGATTTGCCGAAGCAGAGCGAGGAATCGGAGGAACGATTTTCTATTTACACCAGAACTTGCTTTCGGTGTGTGTCACGTTGAATCTATTGGAGATCATCTAAGCTACGGACAATGTGAACAAAATAACTGTTATATCTGCTGATTCGTCAATCTGTGGTATTTGCTGCTGACCCGTTCCAGTGCCTAGTGTCGGAGAGAAAAGACTCACAGAGGGGAACACAACAGCTGTATTCCGAACAAGCGAGTGAGTGAGAGTGCAAAAGTTACAACGACCCCACGCTATTTAAAGGGGACTTTCTGACATTGATCCAGGCTGTCTGATAGGCGTTAGTGATCACCCATCAACATCGATCGTGCCTCTGTGAAAAACCTAAACGCTGATCACATTCGGTCGTGCTTCTGTGGCCGCAAGAACACTCATCAGGTCTTGCTGAATTGATTGAATGATTGATTGGCCTGGATGCTTGCCGGCTTTCCAGTTGAGTTTTTGGTGGAGCAGTAGGTTCCGGGCGTTCTGAAGTTGCTTTCAGGAATCCGACCTTCCTGATAATAACTTTCATTCCAACAGAGGTCCAGGATTCTGACTAACGATTTAGCCAGGTTATTACAAATCACGCAACACAAGGTACGTCTACAACCGCAGATGTCCCAACATGAACCCCACTGCCACTCAAACTAGTGGGCTCGACGTTTCTTCATTTCATACTGCGTATAACGGGGTAAGTGTGGAAGTGCTGCTTGGACAGAACGGAGAAGCGCTCACTTATTCGGATATTTGGATGCTGCCCGGAATGACTATTTGGATCAATTAGGAAGGTATAAAGTTTGCCATCAGCCAGCACACCATGACCGCAGAAATTGGCGGTAAAACACCGACTTACGTATTTTTTCTCACACGATTCTTTCGCTGAACTCACGAAAATTTCGCCTTAAAAGTCCGTGACCTATCGCCGGTGACCAGTGGAAGACTTTTAAATGCTTGAAGAAGGTGTTTATTTAAATAAAACCGAAGTATTCAGGAACTCTAACGATTACAGCTAGAATAAATGTGGCATCAGTTGAAGAATCTTGCCTCGAAATCCCCAGGTTTTGCCAATTTGAAACAACGCCTCATAATTTGGGTACATAGAGAAGGTTTGTGAACAACATGCACAGATTTTAACTGCAGGAGGCAGTGACACTAGAGTTAGATCGGAGAATCTACTTCCGTACTTATTGGACCCGACTATATTGCCACCCTCAGCTTGAGGCTATCAAGCAGCATAAAATGTTCTTATGTTCTTGTAAATTATTCAATGACTGATCGACAAACGATAGCCAGATATCAGGACTTCCATTATCAACTCTTTTTTAATATGAAAGAAGTTTTTATTCGAACAGATGCTCGATGAAACCATCAAGGGCGGATTTGTTAGTATGGCCAGCTCTTCTAACGGAATCATCTTCATGCAGCTCACAAAACTTCGTGGAATTCGTTAGACCTACGTTGTTTACGTTGGAGAGTTGAACAGTAAGCTGTGTGAGTGGGAGGAGTGAAAGCACGAATCGTACTTGATACAATCGCAGTAGGCAGATGGTTCCCGTTGAAGCTGGTCATGCGCAGTCGCGCATGAGTGTATACAACTGAGAGTAGACACTAGTTTAATTCTGTGCCCAGTGCAAGAATTCAGAGCACAGTTTGTGTATGGCTCCGTAGGCGTCCTGGGCTCGTCCCCTGGGGGGCGGTGGTAAAATTGCTACAATCCATGGCGCCGGTCATGGATGGGCGGGCTCTGTCTCATTGTTTACTCAGATGGAGTCGGAAAGTGGCTTTAAGTTGAAAACACGCTCTCCGTGTATGCACGAGCAAAAGGGGTCTACCTGTTGACATTATGTCTAAATATTTGTACTCGGTGCATTCTATTAAATGTTGGCCAGGTGGCAATTGATCTGTTCCTTTCGAATGTGGCAATTAGCTCAGTTCCGCCATCATACTAAGAAATGCCGTCAGTGTTTGGTTGGATAAATCCATCCGTTCCACTTGCTTACGGTCATCGCTTTCAATGATATTCATGGAATATCTGGCTAGATGTGGATGTTAGCGCAGTAATGTCAGTGTATTCACCTTGGTTGTCAGGAGATAGGGTTGTCAGTAACACTGATTACCTCAACACGTGATTGAGGCTTATTCCTATCATCCACAACTACTAAATGTACAGCGTGGGTGAAACTACTAGATGGCTTACTTTCCCGGCTCGTCTAGAAGTCCGCTATTTGTTTGTCTTGATCACTGTAGAGTGATTCGTTGGTGGTTGTTGATTGCAAGTGAAGTTTGTGAAGGATTTACAGCAAATCACTGTTCGAATCATCTATGAAACATCTATTCTTAATAAATCCGAATACGTCGCATTTCGAACATTCCAAAAATGGTCGATACCCGACTTCGAATTGGGAAGGAAGCTTCGTGCTGGAACAAAAGCATCAAGTACGCAACAAACGATGTCCAATTCCAAAGGTTATTCTTGTAGCTCTCATTGAGTAAACAGTTGATTGCTACAAAGGGTCAATTAATACAGCTAACAAAGTGGCTGTCACGCTTTTGAGTAAACTCGTGCGCACCACCTTCGTATGTCCGAAATTTCCGGCCTTCAGTTTACCTTGCACTTAAAAACGAAGTAGGTCAGGCTGCCAGCCTAAGACGCATCATGACTCTTCCATTCGTATTGCGCCCAAACAGCAGTGCACACCTCTTGGATGTCTGAGGAAATGATAACCATCGGTTTTTCGGTTAGCACTCGGACATCGCATCGTTCCAACACCAGTGACAGTATGGTTGACTATCCCTTATTTTAAAGCGACTCGATTCCTTCATCCCCAGACATTTCAACGAGTGATCGTGTGAATGACTGTTCTGGTGGCGGCCTCATCCCTGCGGCTGTGGGTCGGTTAACAGAGCTTCATGATAATGAAAGCTTCTAGTTATTTCACTCTATAACACAAAACTAATAAACAGTGGAAAGCCAAGAAACATTGAACAACATTTTCAACTATCGTCGAGAATAATCTTTAGTGAGGGGTCCAGCAACTCATCAAGAAGATTCAAAACCGATCCCCTCCAAATGAGCGGTTTAACATTCCAGCTGATAACCGCTGGTATACTTATGAAAGTGCAGGGTGCTGAGCAGCCCGAAATTCTACGAATCGCGGCTCACATCGAAAAGGCAGACAACCCAAAACCAAAGTTGGGTAGGTTCTACTTATCTAAGAAAATCTAGCGAGAGAATCGTTATCGTTGATACGAGAAAACCCACCGAGAAGAATATGTTTGAGCAATCCTGTCTTGGTTCACTGCCACCCAGAAAATCATCCAACGTTTTTACGGATTTTCTTGAACCCGTGCACCCGAAATCACATCACGGTCAGTCTTGGACTTCACAAGCTGTTAGAACGCATCGGCACTATATGGATATATCTTAGCGAACGCGGATAAATCATCCTTTTGCATTCCGCTCAAAAAATTGCCTTTATTAACAATTAGCCGGAGAAAAATAGGTCGCAGTGACCTGTCGTCAGTGACTGGCTTATATTTAAGAACTCGATCTATACAAAGCAGTGATTCTTCCTTAGAATATAATATCTGTTCATCTAATGTGATTTTACGCTCAAGAACAAATCAAATGGTCAGGCTGACTGCGCTGCAATCGATTCATTTGTTTTGAGTTTCGCCCAACATTTGTTTGTCCACCAATTCGATTCTGTCTTACAAGGTTTATTTTGTTTACTATTTGAAGATCTGAGACGCCTTTGGTTTATCTTAGGCTGGATTTCACACGAGAATTTATTTCCGCGTTTTCAGCAAAGACTTTTGGGTCATCCAGCCGAAACATTAGCCCTCTAGACGGCGAGACTTCTCTCGGCCTGTGCATTGGTCTTAACCAGACGATTTATGGCAAGCAGAGCATTTATTTGGTCAGTTAGAATAAGTCTCGGCCTGTGCATCATATACTAAAAGAGGAGTCATATACTAAAAGATGGAGGTTATCCCTCGCACTGCAAAAGTACATCTCCGGAAGCTGTTGAATGTTTCCGTCTGTCGTTTGAGAGGGGGTGTTACAAGCAGCTACATCCAAACGAGTGTTAATACCACATTCATGAAAGCTCATCATGCAACGCCATCAAGACTGTCGTGATAGAGAAGGTACACGAAGTTAACAATGACGGAACCACTTCAAGAAGTAATCTCAACGTCAGACTTCATCCGTTTTTATTCACCTGAAGTTGCAGTAAAGGTTTTATTGGAAGAGATAAGCGGGCTCGGAATACGTATGATGGAGTGTGCACCCCACTGCCGTACGTGGAATGAGAGAGGCAGACCGGAATAAATCTGCTGTAATCGATCCCAAATCCAGATTCTTCGATCACCGGCCACCTAATTTACTCTCTTCACATGACTGATATGAGATCTCTACCTCAAGTGAGTACATTAAGTCACTCACTGCTGCCAATAATGCCGTCCTTGAGACCATAAACAATTACGAAATCTTATGACATCATTCTGTCTGATCTAACCTGCTCAATGATTTTCCCCACCTAGTCGGATTTACTGCACCAAACGGGAATCCTAACGCATGTGTAAAAATATCATTTAGCTGTAGAAACCCTTTCGGTGCCTAGCCTCCGTGCCACCAGAATGAAGCACCATGGCTGGGACACTGCTAAACCTAGACAGGGGAAGTCGAGAGGCAAAGGTGGGGTTCGAAATACTAATCTCTTACCACTGAGCCATTGCGCTTGTGTACATGTCGCAATTTTCTTTATATCACGATTATTAATTTACACCCTACGACAGAAACATCTGTTGCATTCTGCGAGTTCCTTTTAGCCTAGCTGGTCAATTTCACCGAGGGAAATAAGCAACACCATTCTCGCTCCATCGACTTTGTTCGAGTCGAATCCAGAAACGCTTTTATTCTTTTGATGGTTCTCTGAACAGGACATCTCAACAAAATCGTATGGCATTCACGTAAAAACATGCACACACACATCTATGGGATTTCAAGTCACTTCTCAGGGTCAAATTTCTGTTGGGTAGAGTTCAAATAGAGCCAGTAAGAGCTTCACTATAATTGAGCATTTTTTGCCTGTTAATGTAGAATAACTTAAAAATCCACTAGGTTTTGCGAATGATCATTTAGTTGCATTTGGATATTTGGAAAAATTTCACCTTATCTGCCTTACTTATGTTTAGCACCGCTTGACTGGAACATAATATCTCTACTTGTAACTGCTACGCTACTCACTTCAAAAATGAAGAGTGGACTACAATTTGAGCACCTCACTTCAAAAATGAAGAGTGGACTACAAATTTGAGCACTATTATTTCATGTAGATGTACTGGACCGGTTTACTCGGTTGTCTTGGCATTGGATAAACAATAGGATGATGTGCGCCTGTTTTTCGCTGGCTACACTGACGTTTCTGACAGTTTTGACAAGAGACGGTTACTGTCTCTTGTAGATGGTGCGGAGAGGCTGCCCCCAGATAATTTCATGCAGGCTGCGCAGCGGCCGCTTTTTTCCATGGTTGATTATCACGCGTCTCTCAGTTTCTTGTCCACTTCCCCCTTCTTTCTCTAGAACATGCATATCTCAGCTTTTCACGTCCTTTGCGAACAAACGGATAACTTGATGATCGGGCGTGCAGTGGTCGCGTGCCCAGCGCGTGTGCAAAAATGCTCTCTTATACCTAGGTTCGGGGTTTGCTAAGGTGATATCCTTTGTTTTACCTCATGTCAACGTTAGAATGACATACCGAGTATCCAGCCATCTTTCATTGTTTTCAGTACGACTTCTCCCAAAACTCATTGGTACGGACATAGAAGGTGACCGTAGTATCATCCCCAAAATTTTTAACCTTCGTTCACTAGAATTATGACTTTAATTTTTACGCTTTATGACTGTACTTCAAGAATTATGTTCCCCTCGGTTTCGTTAAGGATTAACTTTTATGTGTAGTCCTGAATTTGTCTGAAATTGATGACACAAGTTACAGATTGTAAAGACATTTTGCTAGATGCGATTTAAGTTCAAGAACTGTTTTGGTTTACTTGATATATTTCAACTGTCTTGATCCTATATGATAAAAATTGTATCCTCAAAGAAGTCGGACTGACCAAAAAGGGTATGAAATAACGAGGAATGAAATTTAATTGCATTATGAGTTACAGTACTTCATTGGGAGAAGGAATATGTAGATGAAACGCTCTATTGTTATATAGAGCAGAAGTCAAAGACAGGTACGTGCCCCGTAGTCTACACTTCAGGGGTTGAAGACGGATCAGATAGCATGGAAATCAAATTCAAAGTGAAAAATCCATCAGCAATGGACAGAGAAAACCAGTCAATCGTAGAACAGAGTAAAAGCTGGTCTAATGGCGTCCCTTACCTTTCTTCGTTGCATCTTTCTTCGTTTTGTTTCATTAAACGCACTCACTGGTGTCCGATTGAAATGCAAGATTTTTACCCATTTGTGCCATGTCTCGGTCGGTGAGGAATCTAGCTGTGGAAAGACACCGCAAAAATCGGGCTCTGAAAACTTTCCCCCTGTGTGATAACGCCCTCAAGAAGTTATTAATTTTGGTCGATTTTGGAGTTGCAGCGCCCTAATTTACACACTGTCAAGTTTCAAACTTCCATGCATTCTACTCACATTGGCGTGCATCAGTTTTTACTTTATTCTTTTAGAATCCGTTCTTAATTATCGGAGGAAAAGTCTAGATGTCGCAACCGAATTTCTATGAGATGTAATTAAAATGAAGCGGGACGGATTTGGTCAATAAATATTAGAGCAAGTAGTATCCCTAATTAATCAATTCATTAACTATCATATGCGCAGAAACAAGAGACCCAAACTGATGCTTGTTATCTGGTAAGTCTTGCCACTCTTCATAGTTGGTTGAGTATTGATCTGATGCAAACAACTTGATGCTAAGTGACATCCGCTGTTCTGTACTGTCTAAGCATTAGAAAAGCTTTCTATTCATTCAAATAACGATATATTTCCAACAGTTTTGATACGAATGGTCTCAGAAATGTGCTTTAGGCTAAGTGCAAGACTGTGCCTGAAAATCTGACCTAAACCTCCGGCTAAGAGAACCCGGTGACACTCTTCACAGTTGTATATATTTCAGACAATGGTTAAATGCAACGCTAATACATGGAGTGGATTTCACAGGCAAGACAAGTAGGGTCATCTGTCCTTGTAATATTTTGAAGCGTTTTTCTGATATTATGCGCTTCATCTAAAAATGCAACACGCATTGTTGTCTGTGCAAAAATCCGATCCAATCCAGGCATTCACCATGTAACACATTCCTATCCATCCAAACTGCGGTCCTCTGAGTGAGGGCATTTCAACGTGACTCATCTTGACAGAATGAGGCTACTCAAATGTGACAATCGAACGAGCTGCAAATCAGCAATTCTATTTGAGATAAATTTATTGATTGTTTGTATTTTTTTATTCTGTTTCTCTGACCCTGTGTGAGGCATAAATCCTGCGAATTGGACGATAGACATAAACTCCCATTGGGTACAATAATGCGCTAAATTCCATCATATATTATCATTTATTTTTGAAGAGCGTGGTCACAAACATAAAAAGTGAGTGCAAGCGATGAATGCGAAAGAGTAACAGGAGAATATGGGAGAAAAGAGA